GCAATAAAAATCTGATTTAGATCCAAAAACTCAAAATAAAAACTGAAAGACAACAGCGGATGATAAAATGGGATTTAATATTTACCCTCCTGTCTCCCTTTTCAAACTGATACCAACACGTCAAACATTCACATAGTTCATAAAGATTGTTTTGGATGTTTGTGCATCCAAAACAGTTGCTAAATGTCTCCTGTCAGGCACATAAAAAGCTTCAGTCTGGTCATTTATTACCTAGAGGCAACAATAAAACAGACACGCCCAGTGCTACCACGGGCAAAAGGTTAAACCATTGAGAGGTTCATCTAAGAAAGTACTGAAAAACAGTGCCAACACTCCCAGGCGATAAAGGAGGCCCTTTAGGCCCAGAAGGCCCCTGATTGGCTTGGTTTGACCAGTGAAGTCATCTGCTGTAGGAGGGACAGGTCAGCTTGATAAAATAAGCTTATGACCCAGCAAACAGCAGTTCCTTGTCTGAACAGACAGACTGTCGTTAAGCATTTCTTGGTTGAGCTGTTGGAGAAAAATTTTGAGAAACAGAAACCTGTTGGACAAAAAGCCACCAAGACGGATTAAAGTGGAACTTCAAAAGAAATCTCAGAGGAAGATTGGAAAGAAGAGAAATCGGACCTCAGGAGTTGAAAAGGACGTGTGAAAAGGCAAAGAATGGGGTCATTTGGACTTGAGCTGGCTGGCATCGGCCTGTCAGTGGTGGGCTGGCTGCTGAGCATCGTCAGCTGCGCTCTGCCCATGTGGAGGGTCTCTGCCTTCATCGGCTCCAACATCGTCACCGCTCAGGTGTACTGGGAGGGTCTGTGGATGAGTTGTGTGTTTCAGAGCACCGGCCAGATGCAGTGCAAGGTGTACGACTCTATGCTGGCCCTCCCTCAAGACCTGCAAGCCGCCAGGGCCCTCACCATCATCACCATCATCCTGGGCGTCGTGGCGCTCCTCATCTCCATGGTGGGAGCCAAGTGCACCAACTGCATCGAGGAGGAGGCCTCCAAAGCCAGGGTGATGGTGTCCTCAGGCGCGGCGTTCATCGCGTCGGCACTGGCGCAGATTGTGCCCGTTTCCTGGTCTGCACACACCATCGTCACGGAGTTCTACAGCCCAATCATCCCGTCTGGGCAAAAGATGGAGATCGGAGCAGCGTTGTACCTGGGATGGGCGGCTGCAGCCCTGCTCCTGATCGGCGGTGCCCTCCTCTGCTGCAGTTGCCCCCCACAGGAAGAGAAGCCACTAAGGTACACCGTAGCGCCTCACAGCCGTGCAGCGTACTCCGCCGCTCCGAGATCAACGGCCCAAAGCTCCTACACCAGAAGAGACTATGTCTAAACAGAGCCAAGGTGTCAAGAGAGGGTTGAGACACAATCCCAACCATTATTTATGCATTTTCTGGAAATTTATGTTTAACATCATGGAAAAAGTGGGAAAAAAAAAACACAGATCTCATCTTGTTTTAAATTGGAACCAAAAATATTCATACATGTTTTTTATACTCTAGAAAGATAGTTGTTTACATATCAACTTCTCCAAAAAAATTATATTTTTTATCTATTATATCTGTTCTTAAGATGTTTCATTGCACTGGAAATGTGCTGATGGTATATAATTACACTGTAACTGGAACAAATACTCATGTTTAGATTTTTCTTGATGGACTTGCAAACCAGAAACAGGAGCTGCGTCACAGCCGAAGGAAAAGAAAGCAGGTCAAAATGGCGGAGTGGACTCTGTGGGAAGTCTTGTGGAAATCTATTTGGTTTGCTTTAAATGTGCTTTATTCCACGTTTTTAATCTCCATTGCAGTTCTGTTTTACTTTTCATGTGTTGTGACTTTTAATAGTTGAAACTAATGTACTTGACATTTGTTTAACATAATTTTTGTTCAACATTGTCACATTTTCCTTCATTTTTCTGTATATAAACTTTTTGAAAAAAGTCAATACAAATGAAACTACTTTGTATTTAGATCTACTTGATGATTTAAAATAACTCAAAGGAAATAAAGCTGTGAATTATTTTTACAGTGAAACATCATTGAAGCCTTTTCTATGTTAAATTTTTAGACATAATGATGTGATATGTGTCATATGTCCACTAAAAAATAGACAAAAAATACTTGGTAAGACTTTTTGCTTTGTTTTTAATGGGGGTTTTATGCATTGTATGGGGAAAAATACATAAAGTTCACATGTTTTTCACATAATCACATGCTGAGGTTTCTGATCTACTAACAATTATCAGAGATTTGATTGTTTTCTAATCCCAAACAGAGCACTTTGTTTTCAGATTTAGTAGTGATTCCTGGAGGCTCCACAGAAGAACTGGAAGAAAATCTTTCAGTTCTAGGAAGTAATTAAAGATTTAAAACTTTCCTTTTGCTGGAAATCATAGTTTGAGAGGCTTAGTTAGGCTGCTGTACTCATATACTGACACAGAAAAACTGGAATTTTTCCCAGTCTGAACAAAAATTGTTTTTACTGTTGACAAAAAAAAACATTGGAAGTTAACATGTAAATAAAAACATAAAAAATATGAAAGCAACACAGACATGAGAAATAATCCATGGTACATCTGTCCTGATTTTAAAATGATTTGGTTTAAACAGCAGTGCAATCTAAAGGATTACACACAGCATGGGGAACCCAAATCGGTGGCAACAGCCCTTCACTCTTATACATTCTCCTACTGCTCTCCAATTTTGGATTATTTGCAGTTATATATAAACATATAGGAAAATAAAACATTTTAACCAAATAGAGACAAATCGCGAGACAATCCGCTTTCTTATCACTTCACTGTCAAACACTAGAGCTGAAACAATCCTTTAAAAAAGAAATGGAAACTTCTTCTAGTACTGTTAAGTTTACATTGTTTGATTTACAAATACAATTATATGAAGTTAACTGCTTTTATTTTTGAAAGGGGCTTGTAAAGGAGGGCGCCATTTTGCAGAACGAGCTGGCTTTACATCATTTCCGAAGAGACAGTAAATATTGCAGTGTCATCAGCGATACAAATAGCAGATAAATGTATATTTACCTAGTAGGAGGCTCAGCCTGAAGCCTCTCGGTGGGGCTGATAGCCGCTAATAATGGCCATTCATTGGGCAGTTAACGCCCGAAGCGTGTGTGAAATCAACGTGGTGATGTTCTTTCTGACCGAACTACAGATATCAACTACTTTTGGATTTGAATAGTCAAATGATTTGACTTGATGAGGACGCCATCTCTTCAACAGTTTTCTGGTTCTCAGCAACACAGAACAAACATCTGGCAGCTTTCAGGGAAACTCTGTCAGCAGAAACTATTCAAACTAGTTGGAACATTGAAGCAAATGTCAAACTTGTTCCAAAATTACCATTTATTAACGTTGAAGGAAGTTTTAAACACTTTTCAATATCCTGCAAAGCGCTACATGTTTATGATAAAAGTACATTATATACTAGTACTTTATAGTTAGAGTTAGCATTAGCATGTGTTTTACTCTCTATTAGTTGATAAACTGGTGTAAAACCAGTTTTATTTATTATTCAACACTGGCGCTGACATTAACCAACAGGCTGATGCTCTTTGTCATTTTAACCATATTTTCACATAAACATATTCATGATGAAACTACAAACAGTCTGTCTGTTGGGCTCATTTGTCTTTGGATCTTATTTTGGCTCTGCTCTTAGAAAGCTGGTCCTGAGGTTGTTTAGTGTATTTTAATAGTCAAAACATTGACTTTATTTTCCTTAAGTAACTAATTTGATAGTTTTTTTTTCCTAACTGCGTGACACCAGTTAGCCAGTTGGGATATTGTGAGAATATTGAGTTATAACAATATTGTGAGAATTCAATATTTCTGACAATAATGCCATTTAATGTGCGAAGTGCACATATATTCACACATATTCACAGAATTAGAGAGTGAGAACGTTTTTAAGATCTGCTCAGATGTCATGTTTGCACAGTTTTTTTTCCTTTGTCAGATGTTGGGTTAGAGTTTAACCAATACTGAGAAGATCTGCTCCCTGTATGCTAAAGGTGTCTTTAAGGAACTGTTTTCCTTTGGCTCTTATTTGTTCTTGGTGCAGTTATTCCAGTTCGAGGCAGAGCTTTGAGATCGCATCTTGCTGTCGATGCTACCGGTTTGAAGAAACTGTGTTTCATCACGAGAGAAATATTTTTCTCTCTTTATTTATCACAAAGGATATGCACTGTAAAACATAAGTGGAGTTTATCTTTAAAAGAAGATGTGAACTCGTTGCCTCCAGAGAAATCCAAACTTAAAAATGTTAGTGTCTTTAAGTTGAACTTGATTGTATTGAATAAGTCGTAATGACATAATAGCAATGTTTACTGTGCTAAATTAATTCTCTTCACTTATAAAAATATATTTAAACTCATTGCTTCAAAATGTTTGTTTTCATTAAATTAACTGAGATACATTAACTTGTAATTAACTTAGTAATAAATCTTAGTATGTTGTAAAAACTTAATGAAAACTCCTTAATTAAACACTTCCTGCTTTCTACTTGTTCTTCATTAAAATATAGAAAGCAGTGCTCCGATGTTTAAGATGAACATCGGAGCATGTTGAACAAGTTAATAAGAATTTAAGTTATGTTTTTTTCTGTTTACATAGTGTAGCCTTTCTTTCAGTTGAATGTCTGCATAAGTTGCTCTTCTTTGACTAACTTATTCTGTGTACTCTGTACAGATCTCAGTTTAATCATCCATAAGAATATATACGTGGTTCCTTGGAGAATAAAGGTGTAATAGGTAATAAAGAGTGGATTGTTCCTGGAAGTCGTTTCACCAGCGCCCATCCCATAACCACATCACTAAGTCACACCCTGCCTCCATCCTTTCTCTCCTCTACTTTGCTCACTATTACCGGGTGGGGGTTGTTTTATTTTTCTGTATGTGAAGACAGCCTCCTGTTGACATCATTGCCACTCCTCTTAACTCCCATGAGGTATAAAGGATCTGGTTTCTGTGGCAGCATCCATCAGCTGCATCACAGGTGCTCCGCTCCAGCTCAACAACAAAGAGTCTTTGTTCCCTGAAAAACTCTGAGAAGATTCTGCAAACATGTCGATGGGTTTGGAGATTGTGGGCATTGCCCTGGGATTCCTGGGGCTGATTCTTGCGATGGTGACGTGTGCTCTCCCAATGTGGAGGGTGTCAGCCTTCATCGGTGCCAACATCATCACTTCTCAGATCATCTGGGAGGGCTTGTGGATGAACTGCGTCACCCAGAGCACAGGTCAGATGCAGTGCAAGATGTATGACTCCATGCTAGCTTTGTCTCAGGACCTCCAGGCCTCCAGAGCGTTGACGATCATCGCCATCATTCTCGGAGTGCTGGGAGTCATGATCTCCATCGTCGGAGCCAAGTGCACCAACTGCATCGAAGACGAGGTGGGAAAGGCCAAAGTGATGATCATCTCTGGGATTTTCTTTGTTCTCGCTGGCATTTTGGTGCTGGTCCCGGTGTCTTGGTCTGCCCACGTAATCATCCTGGAATTCTATAACCCCATGTTGGTCGACTCTCAGAAAAGAGAGATTGGGGCTTCGCTCTACATTGGTTGGGGTTCAGCCGCCCTGTGCCTGATTGGAGGGGCCATGCTGTGCAGCCGCTGTCCGCCCAAAGACAATTACAAGGCACCTCGGATGGCGTACTCTGCCCCACGCAGCATCAGTGCTGGAGGGTACGACAAAAAAGATTACGTCTGAACTGCCAGGACCTGTCCGGGAAACTGTTAGTTATAGTTCTGTGTTGTGTGGATGTGTTCAGCTGTCTAAAAATCACAGGGCGAGCCCCTCTAAAGACTCCGACATGAAGATTTTGTACTGATATTGATCTTTCTCCCGTCCTTTTGGACAAAATGTTAATTTACATCCTTTTGGTTTATTGATTAGAATAGGAGCCTGTTTTTCTGCTAAATATCGTTCTGGGTAAAAATATTCACTACTCTGTCTGATGCTCTAAAACAGACATTCACACCTGTTCCCTGCTTGTGAAGGAGATCACCGGCGGCGCAGTGTCGTGTTACACTGAAACTTGCTGTTTAAACATTGTGTGTCATGTCTCCGACAGTGACAAGGAAGAGCTGGTTCTCGTTTTACATGGATTTGTTTGCGTGATTGTTCCTTGTGCGCGTCTGTGTGCTTTTTGCATGTGATATTTGCTTAAGAGGGTTTCAGCCGAGACTGAAACCAAAAATGGATCACTGATATTCATTTTATCAGTGTTTTTAGTTTCATCGTGCTTAAAAAAAATCTATTTTCTATTTCTTTTTTTCTTTTTTTAAGATTTCACTGTAACATTGCAACTTGTATTTTGAATTTAGTCTTATTTACACAGGTCAAATAAACATTTCTTGAGTTTTTTTGTTTCCTAATTTTTTTATGTAAAATTGACAAATTTTACACTTATTGTTGTGGAACATATATTTAGAAATAAATATAACCTTGTTAACATTTCAATAAAAGTCTTTTTTTTGTTAAAAGAAAGTGTGCGACCATCTTTAGAGAGCATGAAGCCTACAGGAAAATCATCTTGTGGATTTTGAAAACAGCTCAGGACGGAGGTTGAGCTGGATTTCTTTGTTTAGCGAGCAGCAAAGTTTTCAGTTGGTCTGTGATATCGCTACTGTCATCCTGCATCATGTTTGTAACAACAAACGTGTCGGAACATGTTTCAGGCATCAAACATTGGAACATAAAGACAAGAAGGCGATGAAAGGCAGCTAAAATGCATCCTAATCCCTTTAAAATTAAGTTTTATGACAGGAAAACAGTTTAAAAGTTTACAGATGCTATTAGATTGTGCTACAAAATACAGTTGAGGACTGCAGTTTTAATTTATATTATATTATAGCGGTGTAAAAAAAGTCACACCACTGAAAGCGCTGCATCTTTCTTATTTGGACCTTTTCTCATTTTCTGCAAATAAACACAAAATCTTTGCATCAGATTTCACAGACAGAATAAAACAACAATGTTAACTTTACTGAACCTATAAAAAGTAAATTCAGAGAAACCGATCATTTTAACTGATCTCTCCATTTTTCCAGAACTAATCATTGAAAAGTTGTGACTGAAATTTCAGTGAAAGATGGTTACACACCAGATTTCATCAAGAAAAACGAATGCACTCCACACGTTTCAGATTTCCATTTATAAAAATGTTAACTATGTCCCATTTTTCTTCCCCTGAGCAATTATACGCCACTTTGTGTTTAATAAGTCACATAAGATCCCAGTAGATGAGTTTGAATACAAGGTACTGGTACTTAGTTTAAAATGTTAAATGATAAAACATATTTTACATTCACAAGATTTTACAAATAAAGACAACTGAAGCAAAGCGTGAGAACAACTTCAAGGTTTGTTGAAACTTTTGGAACATGAGCAAAGGGAATAAAACGGTGAATCATTTCTAGTCACTGCAGATATTTCTGACCTTTTTTCACAAAAGTTTTGTTTCGTTTTAGCTATAGTACTCCTATTTTTTTTTTTTTTTAATAATTAAAAATCACCTTTTTCCCGTTAGGTTGATCACTTTCTTAGTGGAAAGTAGAGGGTTTTTATTTTTAAGTGAAATGATCCACATTAGAAATTAGATCAGCAGAGGAGAAGTAGCAGAGCAGAAGTAGAAAAATCTAAAGGTTATCTTCATTAGGTGATGCAGGTGGAAAAACTTGCAGCAAGCAGAATCTCCGTGTTGACTACCAGTTTCACTGGAGCTTCTAAGCTGCTAGATGATAAATTTTAAAAGCATAATAAAATATTCAAAAGCAGCAGTAAGGAAAAATATTTGAGATGCGTCCTCGTTGATATTTATCTTCACATTTGAAACTTCTTTTTTTTTTCTTTCTGAGATGACCGTGGCACCATAAGCAGGTGTAGAAAACGGATGTATGATTTATTTTTTTTCTTTCATCACAGCGAGAATTAGGTTCAGATAAACCTGCTGACAGTCAGGCGATACCTCGGGTCCATGTTAGTATCTCATGTCATCTGTATCACCAACTTTTACAACTTTATCTAAAGGAAATATGCAGACACACACAAAATGCAGACAAATAATACACAGGATACTGCTGTAATCTGACTGAGCCGGGTCACAAAGTGGAATTTGACCAAACTGTGAATAAGTTGCAATGATCATTGTCTTTTTTAACACGCATTAATCTGAATCCATTTTGTATTTTCACACTGCTTTGTACTTCCTTATGCAACTTGTTTTTTCTTCTCAGCATGACCTTCATCTGGAGATAAAGAAAGAGGAAGAGCAGCATGACAATAGGACAAAATTCTCTCAAATGTCACATTTGCATGTCTACTTCTTTTTCCATCGAACAAAGATGGAAACAGAAGTAGAGAAAGAGGTGATCTCAACAGGCGACACAAACAAGATTATTGGCTGAAGCCCGATATTTTCCTGATACAGATGGAGCAAAACATCAGCGATCCGCTGATGGACAGAAATGTTGTAATAAACTATCAGCAGCAGGTGTAATTATGTTGCACTTTAAACATGTTGTGTTATGACAAAGTGTTGGAAATTCATCAGAAGATGCTTAAAAATTACAAAGTAATGCAAAGGAAAAATGATTTTAATTTTTTTTTAAAAGTGCAGCTTGCATTGATACTTTGTAGATCCACCTGTCAAAGCTACAATTTGGGATGTAAATTTTGACCTTGTGTTCAAAATAGTTCAGATCACTCAGTTTGGATGAGGAGCAAACATACATTTTCAAGTTTTTATAAATATTTCGGACTTATTTTCATTTTGGACTTATTTAGTCCTGACCTTCTGGGTTGTCTCCTCTTTATGTTTTCGATCACATGTGTCAAACTCCAGGCCTGGGGGCCAAATCTGGCCCGCCGTAGTTTTCTATGAGGACCTCTACGCTCCAGATTACATAAATGAATCCTTCAGGTTTTTCACAAATGAAGCCTAGGCGTAAATTCAATCTGGAAGACTCTTTAGCCCCACCCGCAGCTTTCAGTAGGCGCTTCCCGCTAATTACTGACGACCTATCATCGCTAGACTTAGCCATGTCGCAGCCAATCACCGACCACGCCTCAGTTCATAAGGTCGTCCATCCAAAGTGCCTCCCGTTTCGCTGCTGCGCTCAACACGTTCAGTCGCACGTCCCAGCTTCCCAGCAAACCATCCCAGCGGATCCCTTTCTTGGTGATTCCTTGCGTACAGCTGCTTTGCCGTGTCCTCGACCCTTCCTTCCCCATCAGACGCTCCCGAGTCTGCGCTCATCAGTCGCACACCAGCCGCTCATCAGCCGCTCCCAGCCGCTCATCAGCCGCCCTCAGCCGCTCTCCAGCCGCTCATCAGCCGCTCCCAGCCGCTCATCAGCCGCCCTCAGCCGCTCTCCAGCCGCACACCAGCCGCTCATCAGCCGCACACCAGCCGCTCATCAGCTGCTCACAGCCGCTCATCAATCGCTCCCAGCCGCTCATCAGCCGCACACCAGCCGCTCCCATCGGAGTCATCATGCCGCGCCCTCCTCGGGCTTCCGGGGTGAGACGTATCTTCTCATGTTTTGAAATGCTAAGAACGCGAATCGTCCATTTAATCCATCCCTTCCCGATCTAGCGGGTTTTATTCGTATGGCTGCGTTTTGATGCTTTAGGACTTTTGCCTGTATGAACGCTTAAACATCCCAATAATATTAGCATCACGCCTAGCGAGAGCCAGGTAGATCACCTAATTCCACAGCGTCCCCACTCCGTAGTAGCCCCGTTTCCTTCCGTCGTCAAGCCTCATAGATTACTTTGAACACACAGGACCTCCTGCTCCCCCTCCCCCTCCTAACCCCCTCCACCCCCCCTTTCCTTCCGTAGTCAAGCCTCATAGATTACTTTGAACTTATAGCCCCCACACCGGACCTCCGTGCACAAACTCTTAATCGCAGCAAGCAGAAGAGACGGAAGTGATATTTCATTTCCTGGTTTCCGCAGCTTATTCTGTAGCTTGCTCAGTATTTACATCTTTTCCACTCCTGTAACCTGCTTTCCCAAGAGATAATTTCTACAAGCATCCCTCATCGTCTCTCTCCATCAAACTGTCATGCCTGAACCATTGCGCCAAATCTCCTCATCCACCCCATGTCACAAAATGGCATCGATCAACTCATCTTCTCCACAGTTGCGGCCCTAATTGTTTCAACGTCTTGCCGCTAAGGTATTTCTCTTTGTTCAGTCCATTCCAACTCTAGCCTACACCATCTACTTCCATCTCAGCCCCTTGTCATGCATCGTAATGGTATTCCCTATTTTTCAGTTCCCATTCTCACCTATTCTAGCCTTAGCTTTCATGTATATATATCTATATTTTTTTTTTTTTTTCGGTTCCTGTTGTGCCAAGCCCCTCCTTCCTGCACATCGAAGTTAGAATCTATCTGTCGTCCCTAAGCCCTCTGGATCATGTTTAACCAGTCGTTACTTCTCTCAGTGCCTTTTAAAGCACTGCGCATTACTGGTGGTGGTTGGTCAACCTCATGCAAATGCATGCTCTCACCTGCCAATGTTATACATGTTTTCATTTATATATATTTTATTTCCCCCCTTTCGTTCTTCACACCCTTCTTGTTGGGCCCATTCCAGAACGGTCTCTTCTCCCGCCCACCTACTCTATCCGTAACCTCGTGCGTCTAATCCCAGCCCTATTACCTCATGTCCAGTAGCAGGCAACCATCTTCCCTCTTTCTAGGCAGTTGCTTTTGTATCCACTTCTCGTCATCTTAAGTATCGCTCAGCCGGCCTCTTTCCTCTAGCTAAAACTTCTTTAGCCTCTCCATCACTTCAGCTAGCTTTTCCCACAACCTCTCATCGCTCTATTGCTGCTTCTCACTTACTTAAGTCTTTGCCTATATGCCCCGAGTTACCGGCTTCGATCTCTTCTCACTTTCTCTGGCTCTAATTCCAGCTTCAGCTCTGACCTCAGCTGTCTCTTATGGGGGCATGATATCCCCTACCACCTATACTAATTCTTAGCTGGCTCTCTTCTACCAACATTCTATCATTCCTCGTCCTGCTGCATTCTCGGCTGGCCTTCTCTACCAGCTTTCCATCACCCCTCGTTCCGCCGCGTTCTCGGCTTGCTTTCATCTACCAGCGTTCTATCATTCCTCGTCTGGCCGCGTTCTCGGCTTGCCTTCATTTTCCGTGATCTACTATCTCTCGTTCTGCTGCGTTCTCAGCTGTTCTTCATCTCCCGGCATTCTATCATCCCTCGTTCTGCTGCATTCTCAGCTGGCCTTCATTTCCCAGCGTTCTCTCATTCCTCGTCCTGCTGTATTCTCGGCTGGTTTTCATCCACCAGCGTTCTCTCATTCCTCGTCCTGCTGTATTCTCAGCTG